GAGGGAGGGAAGGGGAGAAGAAGATAAGGGGGTAAGGGAAGGGAGGGAAGGAGAGAAGGGGATAAGAGGGGAGGGAAAGGAAGAATGGGATAAGAGAGGGAAGGAGGAAAGGAGGGGAGGGGAAGGAAAGGAGAATGAAGAGGGGGAGGGGGGAAAGCGGGGAGAGAGGGAGATAAGGGAAAGGGAGAGGGAGGGGAGGGAGGGTGATAGGGGGACAGAGAGTGAAGGGCGGGAGAAGGGGGATATGGAAAGAAAGAGATAAAGGAGAAATAGAGAATAGAGTAGAGGAAGTGGAAAGAGTGAATTAGATGTCAAAGAAAGAGGGAGAAAGCGCATGGAAAATGGGGAAAGGTGTAAGGCAATACATGAGGGAAGAGAGAGAGAGAGAGAGAGAGAGAGAGAGAGAGAGAGAGAGAGAGAGAGAGAGAGAGAGAGAGAGAGAGAGAGAGAGAGAGAGAGAGAGAGAGAGAGAGAGAGAGAGAGAGAGAGAGAGAGGGAGAGAGAAGGAGAGAGAGGTGAAGAGAATATGGAAGGAATAAGGGAGGTGAAGAGAGGCAGTGGAATGAGGGAGAAAGAGAGAAGTGGAAGAAGAAATAAGAGGGAGAGAATGGAAAAAACGAGAGGTGGGAGAAGGATGCAGAGTAGGGGAAGAAGGGGATATATGAGAAGGAAGAGGAAATAGAAGGGAAAAGGTTAAAATAGGAAAGGCGGGGGAGAGAGAAGGGAACGTGGAAGAGGAGAGGAGATGGAACAGGAGAGAAGGAAAAGGAGAAAATTGAGATAAAAAAGGGAATTAAAAGGGAGAATGAGATGGAAAGGACATGGTAAAAAGGGAGAGGGGAAGGGAGGAGACGAGACACAAGACGAAGAGAATATTCTGATAAAACGAACGGTTAGTTAAAGCGAGTGGCCTTGTAACCTACTCCCATTTTCTATTGTGGTTGCAGAGGTAACACTGATGGAATTTTGATAAGTTAGAACATAAATCGATAGAGGTGGATATAATCTAGAATAGATTGATATTAAGAGTAAATTGAGTACACAAACAGAGTCTATTTTAGGTATCTGTGTGATCGATATTTTATTAGTCTTCTGTTGTTGTTGTTTTTTTTCCTCTTCTTCGTATTCATACTTTTCCTCCTCTTTTTCCTCTTTCTACTGTTTCACCTCATCTTCCTCTCCTTCCTCTTTATCCTTTCCCTCACATTCCTCCTCCTCCTCCTCTTTCTCCTTATTTCTCCTACAACATCGCTCCTTTCTTTTCCTTTCTCTTCCTTTTCGATGTCTTCCGCAGCCCTATGCACTTTTTCTCCTTCCTTTCCCTCCTTCTCCATCCTCCTACCGTCCCTCCATCTCTCTTCTTTCTTCACTCCTCCCTCCCTCCCACTCTTCTTCCTCCACTCCTCCTTCCCTCCTCTTACTCCCTCCCTCCTTCCTCCCT